GCACCCAGACCCCACTGGCACTGCACACCTTTGTTACACCACCCTGCAACAGAGAACACACAGGTGATGTTCCTGGCAGCCTAGGGTGTGCAGGGTGTAGGGCTCAGCAGCCCTTTGCTCCAAAGAGGCAGTAGCAATCAGTGGTGGGGAAAATGTCACTGCAAGCCTCTGACACAAGCCTTTCTAATAACCATCCTTCTAATGCATGAACTTCCTTTCCAGCTTCTTCTCCTTCCTTGCAGTATTTTTTCCAATCCTTTCTGCTTTCTGTATGAGATTCCATCTTCACCAGGCAGATAACCTTCACCCTGCTACATTTAGCTTAGTGCAGCAAGATAAAAACTTGTCCCAAACAATCAGATCTAGATTAAAAAGGAAAAAAAAAAGTCCATGAATTGGAGAGGAAAATAAGAGCAAAAATGCAAATAAATGTCTTTCCTGGTTTGAAGGTCACAGTTTGGATCATGTGCTCCTAAAGCTATCCAGATACAGAAGCTATATTTTCCTGCCTTTGCTATGCCTTCTTCCTTTCCCTTCCTAACAGAAAGCTTTATTTTGATTTAAAAGGAAGTATGATTCAATTTTAACTGTGAAATACAAAAGAAAATGTCTCAAACTAATACTTCTTTTTACAGAAGAAGCATTAATTATGACTTTAAAGAGTACCAAGAGAGGCTATTTCCTCTAAAATATGGTATAATATTTAAAAAATGGTATTATAAAATTGAACTATACAGAAATATGGCATACTGAGGTTTTTAATAAGCTTTAACTCAAATTAAACTCAATTAAACACTCCTTTAAAAATCTTAATTTCAAAGCTTTTTGTGTTTTCTTTCTCCCTTCCCTCTATTTACCATCCCTTTGTTGCCATTTTAGTAAAAACGATTCTTACATAACTAGTAAAATCCAAGGGCCTTGCCACATAAGATCAACTCCAGATTTCAAGGAAGTAGTACAGTCATTTTCCATAAAATGTCATGTCTCATCTCCAACATAATTTCTGTTTTTCAAGCATAGGCAGCATATGCATGTGGGGAACTCCCATAAGAAACAGGAGAAACAACCTGCATGACGTAGGTTGGGACACATCCTTGGGCTTGCAGCTTGCCTAAACAAATGAGGTACGGAGTCATCAGACTGCTGTGAGTCACACAGGATCCCACACTGATGCAAATTGAATTGCAGGATCTCTTCTGACACCCACCAGGATGGTGACATGCCCCAGGTGGTGAATAGCTTGTTCCCTCCAGAACGTGGGGTTACCACAGCAATGACACTGTATTACCTGGCCAGGGCGAGAGTGCAGAATTACCCTGAGGCAATGACTTGCTTCCTGGGTCGGAGGTGGATTCATACTTTGTCACCGGGCTGCCTGTGTTAGGGTTTCTACATTTCAGAAGAATTTGCTGGGGAATAAAAATGCTTGAAAGTATTTCAGTTATTCACACTGCTGTTCCTATCTATGTGAAGGGAAGCAGTTTTGGGTTACACTCTCAAATAAGCCTCACAAAACTGCTTGAGAGATGTAGGAGGCTACGTGTTTTGACTTTCAGTAGGAATCAATCACACAATTCATTTGAATGAAAAGTTGATTTTTCCACCTTAAATACAGACTAGGATTTCCATGATAAAACATGTTACACCTCTATTCTTAGTAAAGTAAAACATAGTTTCATCACGTGTTGCACTAGTAATGATGCACATGTCAAGTTTGTCCAAAATTTTTGCATCATTACACCCTATTTTGGGGGCATTTGAACCCCAGGTAAAACCAGGGAGACGTTCCATGCTCTTTTGCTCCCTTGTACTTTTTGGGGGTAACCACAGAGGAAGCAGCTACCAAATGAGTATGAGGGTAAGCAGACAGGGCAAGCAAGCAGGGAAGCAGGTAGAAGATTCCTGGAGAAGGTCGGGGCAAAGGCCAGGGCCTCCAGAGGGACCAATGGGGATGAGCAAAGCGGAGCCAAGCATGGGGACAGACAGCTGCCAAGGGACGGCCTCTTTTGCCATTTCCTACTCTTTCAGCATCTGACTTCAAGATAATTTTATAGACAAAGTGCTGCACAAACCATAGGCTTTTTTTTCTTTCTCTTTCAGGTTTTCACCCATATAAGATAAAAAGAATAATAAACCCAAAGTATCCCAAAAGGTCTTCTTCTGAAATGGCTTTTAGAGAATATTGTGAATGGGTCAGATGGGTTCTCAGCTACGCACTGGCAGCTCCACTCTTCTTAAATTTCAATTGAATCTGTGTAGATCACCAATCTTCAGTACTTCCTCAGATATAAAACTTTGAAATTTGCTAAATAATGTTTTTTGTGGTACACAGAAACAAATAGAAAGCCATTCAGATGGAGCACCATGACTTGCTTGAGATCTGGCAGCGACCATATGCACTAAACGGCTATTTCTGTCACGCAAATTAGGAAATATGTCCCCAAATTCAGGCAGGATGTACTCTACTCTTCTGCAGAGGGCCAGCACAAGGACCATATGTCATTTAAGTGGCATTTAAATGACATTTAAATGCTATTTTAAAGGCACTAGTAGGACTTCTCTGCTCCTTCACTCTTTCCAAAAGGATTAATTTGGTAAATGTCAATTTTATACCGTTTACAAAGGAAAATTGTACTTTAAGTTGAGGAAGTAGCACCACCTTGTGGGTGAAAATAAAAGTGTATTTTCTTTAACAAATGAAGCTGTTTTCCGCTTTTTTTTTTTTTCCTTTTAGGGCCTCATAATTCTACAAAGCAACCCTTTGAGTCTAAAAACTAATAATTGCTTCAGAATACTTAAACACAAAGCTGATATCTATTATGCAAAAAATGTTCAACATTATGATTACCTACCATGCCACTCAGATTCCTGACACACTGGCTAATGTCATAGAAAGATTTTTTTTTCATTATTTTGAGGTCAGCTCCATAAAACTAAAAAAAGAAAAAAAGGTTAGCTAAAACATGTTCATCAAGGAAATAATGCCCACATTTGCAGTGGCAATGTCTTACTCCAAGAAGCAAGTCAAAATTCTTCAAATTCACATGCAGGTTTGCTTACATATTTAAGCCTATAATTTAAGCCTCAAATAAATTATCCAAACTAGATTTAAGCATAATGCGTGGGTTTGCCCTTACTCATGAGTTTTCAGGACCATTAGTAAAGTTCCTGCAAGTTTAAGCTAATAATATAGCTATTTAACAATTTACTTAAACATTGCTACCCCTGCCTTCACTCTTAGAACTTAAAAGTTGCAGACTTTTTTTTTAATACCTGAATTTCTTCTTTTAAAGGACCAGCTAGAATTGTCTGCAATCTACGGTAAATATAGATAAAAAGAAAAAAAATGATGTTGTGGAAGCTGAGTATTACCAGATTGTTTAATATGCAAACAGCTGTACAACTAGGACTAAATCTGTAGTGCTCAAGCTTGTCTAAAGGCATGCTTATAATTACTGTCAGTCACCTCAGTGGAATTCACGTCTCTTTAGATATCACCAGTGCAAATGTCTATACCTGAACTGGTCACCAAAGCTGGTTTTGAAGTCTCTAGGGAGCAAGAGTTGCTTTGAAGGTGCAGTTCATATCGTCCTGTACCAGACATCAGAAATAAATCAGCTGACTCATTTCTCTGCTTTGGTTATAAAGGGAAAATGATGTGATTAGCATAGATGCAGATAACTCCTGCAGTGATCTGCACAGAGTCAAATGAATCCTACCCCTTGTGCCTCACAGAAATAACATTATCAAGAATTTTTAAGCCCTGTGGAGGATATTTAATTCAGAACTCCAAATTACTTTAAACAGAAAATCTTAAATACGTATTTCAAGAACAACCTCTAAAAATAAAAAATAAATTAAGAGCCATTAAAATAGCTTAATAAAGGACTACACATGCTGTGTCAGCAGGTTGGCATTATCCTTTGTGGTGAACCTACGAGGGGAACTATATATTATAGCACCAGTTACTTTACATTTAGAGGCCCTTTCTGTTAATTTTGCCTTTGCTAGGTATATGTAGAAAATGACATTAACAAAGGTTAATGTGTGAAGTAACAATAAATGCTCTTCTTAATCACTGAAATACAATGGCACCACTTAAAAATCAGGTAGGAAAAGAATATAAAGAGACATACATATAGATATACATATATATATGTATGTATAAAGCTGTAAAGGCAAATCGTAAGACAATACTTCCACAAAAACTTATTTAGCAAGACCATAATTACCTAGAAAGTAGGCAACATAGATTAAAAGCGTTTATTGCAAACCACCCCAATTATTCAACCAATGAGAAAGATACCAGAACTATGCAATAAACATAATTTGGGAAGATAAACTGTGTAATTGCATGTCCAATGTTTAAGGAAATTACAATTCCTAGCCACACACAAAGCCCTCTAATAATTAAGGAGTTTGCCTAGGCTCCCTGACTCCATGTTTGTATGGAAGCAATTTACACAGACCAAAACCATTATGGAAATACTGCCTTAGGCAAGGCAAAAATCTGGTTGACCCTTTGGCCAATTATTGAATTGAAATTCTTTTAATGTTAGAAGGAGTCTTGCTCATCTAAATGCCAGCCACCCCATCCACCTTTTTATCTCCTGCTGTGCTTCTTCACTAGAAAATGTCACCAAGATTAGATACTGTTCCTGCACTATCCTGGGCCTGACAGCAAGTGTGATGCCTTTCCCCAAATCTCTGTTCCCGTCATTGGCATCCCATCCTCACAGAATTAAGACAAGGGCTTAATTTAGTGGAAAATCCTCTGAACATTAAACTTCGCCGCATCAATTTGAACAGAATTTTGAAAGAGAACCCAGAGCCAGGTTTGTAACTGCAGAAGGCATTGCCACCAGTTGGCATGCTGATTGCCATGCTAATTGTCATGTTCTCTGTACTTCCTGGATGTGCCTGTAGTAGAATGAGTGGAAAAGTAAGAGATCACTAAAAACACTGGAAACAAACATATTTTTATGAAAGGGAAGCTATCAGAAGATTCATCCAGATTTATTTTCATCAGTATTTAACCACCAAGAAAGATTCTGTTAACATCCTGGTAAAAATATGGCACAAACGAAGCAGAATAATTTTAAATTTCTTCATTTAATACATTTAATAAATTTTAAAAAATCGTCATACTGATGACCAAGTCTCTGTACCTTCACTGTCTGTAATTAAACTCGAGAGAGGCTTAAGTCTTCTTGCTAGAAAACTGAAAAGAGATTTCATAGAACAATTTAGAATTTTAAGTCAGAAGTGTCTGAAAAGAGCATACAAAAGAGTTGCATACTGAGCTATGGCTGGTTTTGGGTCTGGAAATATTCTCATACCTTTTTTTAGTAAAAATATTTACTTCACTGCAGGTAAGACTACACACCGGAGAACCAGTCATGATTGCAGTGCCTTTGAAGTCTCATCTATTGAACTCAAGATGCACCCACTGTAGATCTCTCTGATTCATTGCAAATGTTTACCATAGGAAGAGATTTACATTTATAAATCAACTGCTTACAAAACTCGCAAATACATCAGGACTTTGAGAGTGGGACATTTGGATTCAACTTATCTTGCACGACCAGCAGTGATTTCAAAAACCCATGTGAAGAAGCAGCGCTATCCCAAGCTTTCCAATAAAATGCAACTTGGAAATCCTGCCTGTCCTAAGGCCCCGGGCTATAAATCTCATCCAGATAGTAAAGCCACATTCGAAGTTCAGTTACAGCCTTTGCTGCTGCAGAAGTTCCAGTACAAAATCCATTGGAAAGGCCAAATACAAATGATGCTCTACAAGATTGTTGAAAGTAAATGTTTCTTCTCTCATGAGAGCTTTCCTTTACCCAAGTGGACAGGATGCATCCTTGCTGGAATAGAAGCACAGGACAAAAAAATCAGTACAAATAATACACACATATATACATAAAATACATATATATATACATGCAAGAATGCTCCTGTCTGCAATACATGGCAGTTTTAACGAAAGCAACTGTAAATAGCTGTGCTGCTCTCTGGATTGTGGGCTGGTATGAGATATGGAGTGATACAAACATGTAAAGTGCCTGTTTTGCTGCAGGGAGAAAGGTTACGGCTGGTGGGAAATTACTGCTAATCTTAGGGAGTATATTATGGCTGATTAATTTTATGGACTACATTGGTATGGATTGTTTTGCTTCCAAATACTTTAAATCTCTGACTGCTGGCTCAGAAGATTGTTGTGTTGAAACACAACTCAGTTGTGTAGACTCTTTACTGGGTTTTGTTCATTTGCTTGTTCAAACTTTTGGCATAACTTTAGCTATTCAGTTTTACCAAGAGAAAAGCATATATACAGCAAAGCACATCTTTGATGTTTTATTAGTAAAACATCACCGGTTTTGAGAGAGAAGAGAAAGTTAGAGCAGCTGATCACTACCAGTAAACAATAATTTGCTTTAAATTAACCAATAACATGTAGAACTGGATATTGACAAAAAATATCATTACAGGACAGAAAATGTTAATAGCAACACTCTTGTAACAGTGGCAGGCCCTCACTACATTTCTCTTTTGGCACTCCTGTCTTCTGAGAAGCACAGTGCTCAGCTGCATGGGGTTTGTGTTCACACATGTAGCTTGCAATCACCTTGCAATGTCCTTCCCCAGAAAGCTACCAGTGCCAGATCTTAAGTGATCTAGAGGTTAAGAAGAAATAACTTGCACAGCACCATGTGCCTGACCTGATATCAGACGAGATTATATTGTGAGTGTTTTTTAAGCTCATGTAGCTGTGTAGACTTTGAGAACTGCTCTGAGAATTGCCACCACCAAGAAGAGTCTGTGTTGAAAAACTTTACCATGAGCCCAGCCCAGCAACCAGGTGCAGCTTCACAAAATGGTGGTCACACACTGACAGAACAGGGATGTTACACATTCCAAAATTACCTGCTGGTGATGCCTTCTCTGTTGCTCCAGAAAGCTGCCCAGCATCTTTGCATATTCTCTTCTCAGCATTCTTCCTGTGCATCATTACCTGTGATCTCTCTAGTTTTCTCCTTCATGTGTATGCTCAGCATCCCAAGTGGGTTGACTGGCATTACATTTGCTAATTATTTTCAATATGGGAAACAGTAATTTCCCCTATGCATCATCTTTTTTTGTGACAGCAGTGGTGTTTGAAATTTTTAATAATTTTCCACACAATTACATTTTTCACTTACAGGGTATCCAGAGTCTATATTACGGGAAAACTCAAAATTAAGCCAAACTGATAGCTATGGGAGACAAAGCTGATGAAACAAAATGAGTTTAGAGGACATTTTTTTTCTAAATTTTGTACATTCAAAATACAGGCCAGAAAGTATTGCGATAGTTATTTTCATTTTACTGAAATTCTTGTTTCAAGTGATGTTTGTGAGAGAAATATCCAGCTCTAATGTGATATTGAAAGAAACCCAACAACTCTTTATTTATGTGGCCATTGCTTTATTCCTGTGGGCAAACACCATTTAGGTAATTGCTGCTGGCTGATGGGCTCTGTACCATTAAATATCCTGTCCTCCTGATGGGATACTACAGGTGTTCCACCCAGGCAGATCCCAGCCTTATGGCTTTCTCACAGCTACATAAACTCTCCACAAGTCGTTCTCTCAGGTACTGCACCTTAATGCCCCCACACCCAGCAAAAGATATTTATCCTTCAGCGTTTATAGAAGTGTATTGTTTAATAGGACTGCATTTAAATGTCTATAAAGGTTGTCAATCCAATGCTTATGACTCACAATGGAAAATTCCTCTCAGAGAGACTTTATTTAACCACTGACTTCTAGATGCAGAGAATGAGCAGTATACTGCAAAGAGAGGTAATAAACTTTCTTTTAAATCAACCACGAATCAGTTCTGGCTTCAGAAATTTTATTACTTTTTATTAAATGCAGTGGAGATTGTCTGCTATTGGAAAATGTGAAACAGAATGAAAAAGCTTTTTGACAAGACCCATTACACATATTTTATCATGTATTTTCTATTCAAAGCAATTTCACTGCTGTAGACTAAACAGAGACTTAAATCAGTATCTGACAGATTTGTTTAGAAGCTACTCTTCTTCAAAAGACCTCCAAATCATTATTACTTTCAGACAACTTCAGACGGAAGGATTTTAAATTCCTTCCACAGCAGTGATTTGGTTTATTATTACTTTTCAGACGGCAAGATATCTAAAAGACAAAGATGAACAGAAAAACTAAAGGGATTTTCTGAATTGAGTCCTGTCCTTTAATGTTAAAAGCAACACTGTATAGAATCATTTTGTCTTGAGCTCCAGCTTTAAAGCAGTAAAATCATTTTGTCCTCACTTAATTCTGCTGGATACATGTTACAAACTGTCCTCAGAATTAGGAATCTGTAAATTTCTCTTGAAATATATCTGTTATTAATTTCCAAACACTTTTCTTGAACTAACATAATCTTTTACTTTAAAAAACATGTATTTCCTCCCTGTTGCTCATAAAGTCCCTCACCACCTGAAAAATGACAGTGCAGTCACTGTTGATTGTTAAGAAATTACATGTAGGAACAGAAATTACATCAAGTCAACAGAAATTATACGTATTTATCAATCAGGAAGTATACTATACTTAAACTTTTGTATCTGTTCTTCGGTCTTCTGTCATTTTGTTTTGCCACGATACATCATCTCCTCTTTCCTATTCTCCCAGACGCATTATCTGTCCTCTGAACCTGTTCCAATCTAAAGTCACTTCTATAAAATGGACAGAGAATCATACACATTATTCCTGATAAGGTGCTTTAGGGCCTTGCACAATGGCACTAATGCCTCCCTGGCTTTAGTGGGGATCTCTCACCAGAAGCCCCAGGGACCTGCATTCACCTTTCCAAGGCCAGGGCAACAACATTGCCAGGGCAACTCCCAACCAGTCCTGGATCTCCCCTTCAGCAATTCTCAATCCAGACACTTATGCACTGCTGGTTTTACTACTCTGTTTCATCTCATTTCTACAACTCATCCTCAAAGCCACTGTGCTCCTTCTGTCTAATATTCTGATCCTCCTCATATCTGAATACAATAAATAATGGATAAAGATAGCTCACACTGCAATATTAAGCAGAATGCAGGTTACGGGTTGCATCATATTAGAAATAAACCACACACAGTTATAGACATTGGCAAATACCCTGTATATTCAAGAACAATATTAAGAACTTAGTGAGTTATTATTTCATTCTTTTAAAACCCAGCAGTGTAAATATGAATTTATTTTTGTCTTCTCTTTTGAATGTTTAGAGTTTGTACATTTATTTTTGTCTATCTGCTTTATTTCATTCCTTAGGTACAAACACTGGGTTATTTCAGTGTGAGGAAGTCTCTGTTTGACACAGGCCTGGGTAATATTCTTTCAGCCTTGACCTTGCACATGGAGAGAGCTGCAGAAAGGAGAAGTATAAATTCAGTGCAGCAGTTGAATACACCTAAACCTGCTTTGGAGATTGGAACTATTGGTGCTTTAAGTATTAGCATTCATATTTTATAGATTCTGTACTGCATTAGTATATAACTCAGAACTTTAGATAAAGAGTTCTCCTCACAGTTCAGTTAGACAAAACAATCCTTTTCCAGCCTGAGAACCAAGGACACCATTGCAGCTTCAGGCCCAAAAAGTATGAACAGTGAACTGAGGAGAGCAATCTGGGAGGATGAGACTTCATTACCTGAAGCTGAAATTGGACAATTAATCCAAATATGTAAATGGACCAAAACTTATAAAAGTCTGAAAATGTGTGACCTGTTTCATCCATCTTGGGTGTAGCCTCGGCCAGGCTCTTGTACTGCCCAAGGCTTCAGTTATACTTGAACAGAGGTTTTGGGTTACAGAACACTATCAAATTTAGAAGACCATTCATATTCCCACAGACTTATGAAACACTTATAACAATAAGAAACCTAAAAAAGCAAGTTAATTTATTTCCTGCTATATGTTGGCAATCTAGATTACATTCACAAGCAGGAGAACATAATAACTAAAGGCTGCCTCTTCTGCCACTAAATGTTTCTCATGTTTTCTTGTTCTGATCATTCTAACTAGTAGAAACAAAACCATTTATCAAAAATAATTGCCATAATGTATCTTCATGGGAATAACATTATATTGCCAATATACGAACTCTACCTCAACCTACTGCAATGTGTAGGCAGAGTAAAAATAGTATAAAAATCTTATAAAACCTTATTCCATTTGAATTGAACAAATTACTTTCTACCACAGTTAAAAATGGCTTAGCTTTTAGGAAGTTCAGTGAAAAATTAAACACCCCCACCTTAAGCAAACACTGCAGGCTATGCTTATGGAAAATTATCCTCACATTAATCAGCTGTACATGCTGACAAACTTGTTCTTTTCTGGTTGCCTAGCTATCTACCAACCTCCTCTGGCTCCCTGCCATGACCTCTGTGAAAGAGCTGCTACAGCAGTAGTAAGTATGTTCTCAGAAAGCCTTATTAGTTGTGCTGTAGGTTTCTAGTTATTGAACAGCAACTCACTGTACTTTAATTATTGTGACAGTACTTTAAATAAAAATGCTGGGTTTCATCTTTTAAATAGACACGAGAAAATTTAAAGTCAAGAAAGCTAACCAGACAAAACAGGTCAGGGTTACATGTTATGCTGCAGCAGCAAACACTACAAAACCAAATCTACATTTCAAAATGGTAGGTCTGAAGCTGTCATATATATATATATATATATATGTATGTATGTATATGTATATATGTATATATATGTAACTTTAACACATGTAACGATAGGCTTGAAGAACTATGGTATCTATGAATAAAAAAGTTTTGTATCTTCCAAAATTTATTTGTCACAAAGTATAGAAACGGAACTAAATTTCACTACTTCAGACTGTAGCACACAGAATCAGTATTTATTAAAGTCTGGTGAGTTTTAGGATGGGACTGCTGTGGATGCTTTCCAGGTTTAACAGCTCCTCCCCAGATCAGCCACTGAGTTCTCATATGTGCTTAAAATACAGTTGGGCACCAAAACTATACAGGGCTTCAAGCAATGCTATGCTACACATACCAGCATTTTAGTTATAAAAAGAAAAAGCCAGGTAGGTATGTTCTTATTCGACAACTTCTGCAGGTAGAGTCAGTGAGCATGAGCAAAGTAGATATCCACATAAAGCACTGACATAATTTGTATGTGCCATCCTAACATACCATGGGAAGAGTTCTCAATTGAAAGTAATAATAGGGTAGCCAGGAATGTACCAATTAAAATAACTTGGTTGTCTGTGCTAAATTGCAGATATTCCTAAGGTCTTAAGGAAATTTAACTGTCTTTATTTACCAGAACGCAATCAAAAACAAAGAAGCACTTTTAGACTTAATTCTCTCAGAGGTGAAACAACTGCACAGACTACAGATTTTCTTATTGATGGATCATATGCACTAAGCAACATAAAAGTTTTGAAAAAACAATTAAATTGACAGTTTTCATCCATCTTCTCAAGCCTGTTAGAAGCATTTTCTATTTTGTTTATATATGTTCTATATATATATATGTTTATATATTTTCTGTTTTGTTTATGTATGTTAAAACTCCAACAGCATACATTTCTTAAGCTTTTAAAGTATATTCTCTTTTTCCTATAAAAACAATATAATACCAGTTGCTCTAGTTGGTCTGCAGCTTACATAACACAAAAATCAGGCTGATCAAGATATGCATGTTCTCAGTCTTGTTTTATGAAGTGGAGCCATACACTTCCAAGAAGACCGATGCATAAAGACTGCTCTCTCTTTTCCCCCTCCAAATATTTGCATCAACTGGTAAAACTCTCACAGAAGCAAAACAATTAAGGAAGTACCAGAGACAGTACGATGCAACAGAGAAGCCCCAGGTCCAGACCCAAATCTGTCCTTTGACAGCAGGACTGTCAGGATACAGCCAGCCCTGACGCACCACAGGGCTGCAGTAAGGAGCTGCTGGTGTGAGCCCCAGCACAACCTCAACGGAAAACAAAGGTGTAGTTCATGCTTATTCCTTAAGGTTATTATGTGCCAGACAGAGAATTAAAGAAAAAAGAATATTAAAAAAAACCAAAAAATAGAAGAAATAAAAACTAGATAAAAGTTAAGTCATCCATCAGGATCCAAAAAGCAATTGTTGCTGAGTTGCATATTACATATTTGCCAGTTGCTCATTGACCTGTTGGGAGTAAACTATTGACCTCGAGGCAGATTTTAGAGGGCAAGTATGTACTTTGTTAGCACTTAGAGTAAAAAGGGTGGATTTTGAATGCACTTGCCTGTGCTTCCCTCCTCTCAGCAAAGACGAGGCTTCCTGGTCAGAACCACGCTGATCAGAGTGGGAGGTCAGTCACGCTGCAAATAAGAACTGACGTTTCAAAGCCAGAGCAAGATTTTTGCTGTTAAGGAAATGTACTCTAACAACAAATTTGCAGGTCACAGTAAGGAAAGAATATGTTTCTCTTTTGCTTTTTTTAACTGGTGAAGTTCTTGAGCTCCATGGTGGCTGACTAATGGCTGAAGGGGGATTTCATTACATTGAATTCAAAAATTGTCAGGAAACTTACAGGAAGGAATAAATATTCCTTTTATTAATTTCCTATATTAATATCTGCAAATAAAACAAGACTAATTTATTGACTCCACTCATGGTTATTGCTGAGTGTAAAATTCAAGAAGTCATACCTTTGCTGAGTTATAAAGAGAACAAAAAGAGCCCAGTGCCATACAATTTTGAAGAGGAGCTCTAATGCAAGATGCTACCTGGGCTGGGGAAAGAAAAATGTTTTCCAATAATTTACAGAGCAGCTATAGAACTGTTGCACTGTTGCTGCAGGCAATGATCAATAAGTAAGAGGAGAGAGAGGACACCTCAAATTCCAGTATGTTTTTGGTCCATCTTCCTCACAGTCTTGAAAAGGAGAGCAATGTAGTCTGATGCTTCAGGTCACAAAGGAATTGCTCGGAGGAGCTCTTGGAAAGAACTAGATATCCCCATAACTCGGAAGTAAAATTCTATATCCATGTAAAACCAACCTTATCCTTTGTTGAGTAAACTGGAAGGGCACTAATTACTTTTCTTCAAGCAAGCAAGATGTCAAAAATAAGGGCTAGAAAAGATACAAACAAATGACATATACAATGGGCACTACAGGAACAGCAAAGTTCTAGCTGGCACCTAAGACAGGATTCGTGCAAGAAATGAAAGAACTTATTGTACCACAGCATTGGTTCTCAGGCTGCAGCCTGCTCACTCTTGTGGCAAGGACACCGCTGCACAGCGTGCCTACCAAGGGGGAGGCTGCTTCCTTCTGACACACTCCCACAAACACATGGAATCCGCAGAGGCTTTACTGACCAATTAAAATAAAACTTAACCGTCATATTTGGCAACTTTTGTTGCCAGATCATGTCATTCGGTTATTGAAACCTACAGCATACAAATTCAATATAGAGAAAATAAAACACCATAGGTTTGATCCTCTTTCTTCCAGATTACCTGAAACAGATAATTCAAAATTTCTGAGAAAGGAAATGCAGTGACTGAATCTGAAATAAAGCCTTACTTAATAGATTATTCAGTTACCTTGGGAGATACCTCTCAGGGCAGCCATTCCTCAACTTTTAAAGGCTCAGAACACAGAGAGTAGAAGTGAATGAGGCTATTATCAGTAAAATAACTAATATGTTATTTGACATCGATTCAGTAGCAGTGCAAACACAATCCTCTTCAACGGGGTCTCTGTTGAGAAAAATATGATTTACTCAAAAAAGAGAACTTGCGTCTTCACAGCTGCAAACCCACTTCCAACCACAAAGACAGTTCCTCATTTTCAGTTACCACAAGCAGTTTTGCAGTGAGCAGACTGGTGTTTTCTACAGGCCCAACCAGAAAGGGTACTGAGGGAAAGGCAGCGTGCTTGACTTTTGTTCATTCCTAGGCTGCCCTGTTGACATACTCCTCCTGTGTGGTCACAGTAATCATACGTTCTCACTCGTGATCTCCCCCAGCCATGTTCTTGTGGTCACTGCAGCCAGCTTTGCACTTGTCCCAGATCGTTCCACTTGTCACGGCAAATAACGTGAGATAGAAGAGATGGTAGGAATTTTTTTTCCCATGGAAAGGCACATCCTCTGTTACCCTTGTTTGCTCTTTCGTGTAATCAACTGTCTCTTTACAGAAAACCAGAAAACCAAACCGTGACCTAAAACAAGGACTGTGACAAGATCAAGACTTGGGA